TCACATCTTTCCTTTGCCCATGCAGTGATAGTGAGTTTCCACCAAGAAGTCTGGGCCTCTGAACCAGAGATGATGTGCTCCTGCGGACTGGGAGAGGAGGTAAGCTCCAAGGAGCAGCCTGAGGGAGTGTCATGTATCTCTGAATGGCAGACCTGTGGGGTGAGGAAGCTTCAGCCAGCACTGGATTCCCAAGCTCACATCAGCCATTGGAGCAGTGTTCTCAGCAATGCAAGATGTCTCCCGTTTGCCATCACCCAACTTTCTGAAAACACAGAAACACCAAGGTACCCTTAAGTAAAACCCTTGAAGTGAACATCTCAGATTAGCTGGAGACAGCCTGCCTCTCGCCAGGCCAAGTCCCAGGATCTTTGCTCTTTTGCTCTCAAGCAGATGCCTCCCAGCTGGTATTGATGTTTCTTAAATTGTCTCCCTCCATTTATTTGCACAAACTACCTGGCAGGCTATGGATCCCACTAGATGGCAGGACAGTTTAAGCCCTTTGGTACTGCTATCCAAACCAGTTCAGAGCAAGCGCCCTAGGACCCCACACACACCACAGTGGATCCAGGACTTAATCTTGCTGAGCACAGCAAATACAGCCTGTGCCAAACCAGTGGAGAAATCCATGCACAAACGTCGGTTCAATTCCTTTTGATGGGATTTGTCACACATGAACTAGTCCTAAGTAATTTTCTAAACCTTGGTTCCTCTTTGTATATGTGATGCATAAAGGATACTTGTAATACTGGTGGTAAAGTGTAGTCTAAACCTCTTCTAGTCGCTGCTGTGTTGTAATTTTTAACTAATGCAAGTGCAGTTATATTATTTGTACAATCACCACTGTATGAAAGTTGCACAACACAGAAGTGGCCACTGTGGGTCAAGTTGTAGGTCCATGTAACTAAATAAAATGTCTTGGACAGTGCAAACATATGCGATGTTTCCTTTGATGTTGCCCTATTGTCCCTTCATAGGGCAAATATATATGACTAGTCCTCTTGTCTTAAACATTTGTGTTCAAGGACTTTCTAAGTTGGGAAGAATTTTCTGTATGATTAGTTACTCATGATTTAAACCTAAAGTTAGATACAATTCACACTGTAGTTAGTATAAAATCAGTCTTTGTCTTCAATGACATCTAGGTGTGGCCTGTACATTGCTGTACTATCAATGATTTGGAAATTTCTGTTAAAATATACCACTTTGAGAACTGCTTTGCTACTTTCTTTGTCCATCCAAGCTCAGCCTATGCAGTATTATACCAGAATGATGATATATAGCACAGGTGGAGATAGCTGTATGAGGAATCATAGCAAATAAACTTCATTTAAAAAAATGCTTAATTACTTCTCTTATTCTCTCTAAATGAGAACATTCTAGTAATCAGTCCCCTATCTTGAAACTTATTTCGTCCTTTATTGCCTTCCAGATAACAAATTGAATTTTCCTGGTTCATAACACCAAAAGATGCACCTCAGCATGTTAATCTACGTCTTACATGAAGCTTCTGATGAAGGGATGGCACAAAGAAAATTACCTTCTTAATAACTTGTGGTAAAGATTGAGGCCAATCTTCTGAATATTCAAAGTACCTATATTGTTTTGTATATGCACAATGAAGTTACAAGGGTATTTCCTGGCTTTTTTTTTTCCCCAATATGCAGGGTGGCTAAGAATGAGTAATTGCTTCATTAAGTTCTAAAATTTGAAGACAACGAAGTTACCCTTTTTTGCTTGGTACTAAAATGCATTTCTTTGCTCTAGAAAAGCCCAGGATAGTGCTGTAAAGTGGTGAAAAAGATGCTACTACCTGTGCCATACTTGCTGGAATGGAAATTGAGATTAATGCATTATAATACCGGATTAGCCTTAATAGAAGTTTGCTGCTGTAATTTATCAAGGTAATTAAGTATGTACCTAATTTTAGGCACTAAGTTCTATTGACTTCTGTGAGATGTATGCATTTAAAGTTAAGCATGTTTTAAAATACTTTGCTGATTCAGGACCATAACTTTGTTACCCTGTGGATTAAGAGAATGCCCTGTCATCAACTACCCATTAGCTGAGCTAATGGGAGGGTGGTACAGCCTGGATAACGGTTCAAACTGGATAAGCAGGCTCAGTGAGAAACATATTCAGAAGCACTTCATTTGCTCTTTACAGGCTTAGACAAAGTTTAGTCGGACAATTACCTATCTTGAAGATATCAACAAGAAAATGAACCAGAGCTTTCCCAACTTTAGCTATTCTTGAGATAGTAGCCCTGCCTAAACCCCAGACTATTGAACAGCATGGCATAGAGACTCCCAGAAAGCAACTAAGGGGCTAGCTCCATGTTTGGGTGAGTCAAGCATAATATAGAACCAATAAATTCTTCTGGACCAAAGTTTATATGGCACAATCTCTTCCACACCAACAAGTGTTTATACTGGTCAGAAATATGCAGCTGGTTCAGAACCATTAAGTTTTGTTTGACAAAATCCAGGGCATAAATAGATATTCCTCTCCTATATCTGAACTTATGACAGAAAAACTCTCTCATGCAGCCTAAACTAATAATTATTTAGACACAAACTGTACATGCATGTGGCAGAGAAAGCCAACTGTATCCTGGGCTGCACCAAACAAAGCGTGACCAGCAGGTTGAAGGAGGTGATCCCGCCCCTCTGCTCTGCTCTTGTGAGACCTCACTTGGAGTATTGTGTACAGTTCTGGTGTCCTCAACATAAGAAGGACACGGAGCTGTTGGAGCAAGTCCAGAGGAGGGCCACGAGGATGATAAAAGGACTGGAGCACCTCCCATATGACGACAGGCTGAGAAAGTTGGGGCTGTTCAGCCTGGAGAAGAGAAGGCTGCGTGGAGACCTCATAGGAGCCTTCCAGTATCTGAAGGGGGCCTACAAGGATGCTGGGGAGGGACTCTTTGTTAGGGACTGTAGTGATTGATAGGACAAGGGGTAACAGGTTCAAACTTAAACAGGGGAAGTTTAGATTAGATATAAGGAAGAAGTTCTTTACAGTGAGGTGGTGAGGCACTGGAATGGGTTGCCCAAGGAAGTTGTGAATGCTCCATCCCTGGCGGTGTTCAAGGCCAGGTTGGATGGAGTCTCGGGTGACATGGTTTAGTGAGAGGAGTCCCTGCCCATGGCAGTGGGGTTGGAACTAGATGCTCTTAAAGTCCTTGCCAACCCTAACTATTCTATGATTCTGTGATTCTGCATCTGTATTGGTTCCTCTGCAACTAGATAATACACAGGCAAATGAGGACTGTATAATATATGACCCATGTATTAGAGATCAGAAATGTTCATCCTACTTTTAATTGAGTTTCATTTTAAATCTTCTGGTTAATCTTTACTTCATATGAGGTTTTTCTAATTTTCTGTAAAAATCCTTCATTTGACACAGCATTTTCTCAATGACAGATTCATATAGCTCAAGTACAAAGTAAGCACCAGTTTCCCAGAGTATTGAGCACTCTGACTCTTCTAAGCTGTATGGCTGTGAGCGGTTAACTACATGTATGTTTATAGCTGTAGAGATTTTTATATAGAATTTAGCACATGAATAATTTGCTAAATTCAGCTGGTTCATAATTGGCGTTTTAATAGTAAAAAACTTGAAAGGATCTTAGGTTAACAAAATACTTTAAGCATCTATTCCTGTAACCCAAATTTCAGTGACTGTAAGAGAAAAATCTAAATATATCCAATGCTGCAATTATGGAAGAGAATTCAATATAGGCCATGACCCAGAAGAGCACTTTAGCATATGCTCCACTTAAAGCATATAAAGAATTCTGTTTCACTAATACTCAGCTACTTGATTTCCATGGGATCATTTTAACTTCTTAAAATTGAACAATTTTATGTACCGTGATACTACAAAGAAGGCTGGTACATGAAAACGGGACTGCAACTCAGAACAAGAGAATGTACCACAAATATAGTTAGTCCCGAGTCCCTCTCCACTCAGTTTTCAACTCTGGCCTGCCAGTTTCAGCTAGTTCAGTCTCTCAGACTTTCTTAAGCCACCTGTTTTTCTCCAGTGGAGTAGGTTATTTTACTTTTCCAAACCTGCAAGTAATTCTGGGATGTTGCACTTGTAAAATGAATACAGTTAAGTGGAGGGAACTATGCGTGAATTCAGTTGGATGAATCCTTTACTGAATGGTCCCCAGAAGACAGTGCGTGAGTAAATAAATGCACAGTAGGAACTGTAGGTGTGCAGACAGGCCTCTTACAAGCTCTCTGCCAGCTATTAAATACACAAATATTTTAGAGATGGAATACTGGTCAAATGTGGAATGTACTCAGAGGCGCTTCCTCCATCTGGCTGCAGGCCAGCAGAGAGATTGCGTGGGCAAATAAAAGCATTTGACTGTCAGTGTTGTTTAGGTTTCAAGAAGTACATACACGGCTGCTGCCCCAGGCTGCAGTAAAAGGTGCTTGTCTGTACCTGAACCTTAGGTCTCCTACAATAAGTGAATGAATGCTAAGTATTTTCAGGAGCATGACCTCCATAACAAAACAATTTCTTTCAGTAGAGAAAAACCTTTGCTCAGAAATCTTTGTAAAAATCACAATGACTGAAATGTCTTCACTGTCAGCAAACCATTAAAGCAAAAGCCATATGAAAGAAATGTGTATTGTTGGGTTTCAAGTCTTTTCATACAGAAGAAACATCAAGGAATCAACAGAAGACAGAAAATATGATAGCTATTTAATTTCCATAGTGAGATTAAATAATTTTAATCACTTACAAACATGACTACTTTATTTTAGATACACATGAACAGCTACAATATTCAGCCTAAAAACAGAAATGACAGAAGTGTCGAGACTGTTAAGAGCAGGAGAACTGAGATGACTTGCCATAATCAAATAGAATTTAAAGAGAGTTAGAAAGCAAGCACTGGTGTTGAAGTAGTTTACCAAACCTTTTGGAGACAGGAGGAGGAGAGAATAAAAATGTCTCTTTTTTTATTTCTCACACCCATCTACATGTGCCTGATGAGAACAAAAATCTCAGGAGATAAATTACAGTTAATGTCTGTAATCTAATACTTACTTAATATCACCTTAAGGTGGGGAGAATGAATACACCTCTGTATCAGAGAGAAAGGAGCTCTTTCGAGAAATTAAGAGACAGGATTTTTATTTTGAAGCAATCATTAGTTGGTGGTACATCTGCTAGGTACATTAATTGAAACTGTCAAAGGAGATTAGTTAGGATGAGTACTATAACCATGAGAAAACCCAAAACAAGAGATACATTCTTTAGTTTTCTTCCCATTTGGATGTGTAGAACATTTGTTTTTAAGGATGACTGTAGAAAAAACAGTAGCTCCACATTAATGTCACCTAGGTACAAGTGTGCTGCAAAATCTTGTCTGTGCTGCTAAAGTTGCTACCACACTTCAGTAGGGGTATCACAGAGAAAATGGAAAGTCTGTCAATGGGTTTCATTAATCCAGCAGTCCTTAGGTTTTAGGAATCACTGCTTTTTCCTTCCGCCTCTTGACTTTCCAGCAAGGCTTTGGATGACGACACTTCTCCACCCTCTGCTCCTTCATCTAAAAAAGAAGACAGATTTAAATGTTTATACCACACATATTCTCACAGCGTTTCTAATGCAGCCAAATATTTGGGTTCACTGATCATCTCTGTTTGGATTGGCTTATTACCACCACACTCATGGTGCTTTAGAAACAGAGACTAACTCAACAAATAAAAACCCTGTAAAGGCATTTTCCAAAAGCAGTTGCCTGTTGGTGTTGATTTGCCTGCTCTTTGCATATACTAATCAATGTGGATTTGGTTGTAAAACTGGAAATAACTTTTTATTATTATTATTATTATTCTTTTTTCTGGGTCATTTCCAAAGTCAAGTTAGAAGATTGCATTCCTCTGAGCATTGCTTGGCTTCACATAGATAACATCACAGTTTATGAACATGCCAGTTATCTGGCTGACCTTCTTTGACAAGAAATACCTAGGAGAATTCACCCTTTCTTCACAAGAGGAGGGAATTTTCTTTAAGTCTCATTTGGAAGTTCACTCTTCCATAGGTTAGAGTTGCATGCTTATACGACTAATATCAGTAAAAGCTCTCCAGTATACATGGTCGCTACATGGAGTTCCACATCATCACTTTTGATGCTCAAATTCTCACTAAAGAAGAGGAACACCTCTTGCCTTCATTTCCTTGCAAAGCATAATAATTTTCCAGTTCCCTTCAAATCGTGCATGGCACTATCAGTGCTAACAGAATACCCAAACTTAAGACAGCCTACAGCTTTTGGGGCAAGGAGAGGTCTGCTCAGCATATCTGTCTGAACTGTCTTCCATGTTAATAGATATAATCTAAGGGGGTATATTTTCAGCTATTTTCCCTGGAAACTTTGCGTAAAGTATCACAGACAGACAAAAAGGTTATCTATCTTGGTCTCTACACATCACAGCAAATATATAATGCTGTACACAAGTCATCTGCTAAAGCTCTTGTCAGAAACAGCTTGATGGAGCAAGTCTGCTCAGAGTTTTGGAGGCTTTGGAGTTTTTATACTGGTAAATTAAAAACTGAGTTATTTGACACTGTTCTGGATTATGTAGCACAGTACTGTTGAGGAAAGGGAGACAGAGCAATTTCCTCTATTGGCTGTTTCTATGTGCGACTGGATACTTAATATTCTATGATTCTATTATATTAGTGCAGTATAGACCAGTATAGCCTCTTTGCTGTCAAACTTCTTGTAGGCTCCTCTTCAACCTTTTGATTACCAGTGACACCAATCAACTGCTTAACATGGTCCTGCTGCGGCCTCCCACCAGACCACCTGTGGAACGTCTCAGCCCTCCTAAACTTACACACTATCAGAGGATGATCAGACAGGATACAGATGGTCTTCATTTCAGAGTTAGGCTCTGTGATAAACAGCTGGTGCCAAAATCTCTCCTGTTCACCTCATGAGAACTTTAATTTGGTGCGGCTTGCAGAGTACATGGAAATTCATATCACACAGCTATGAGCCTTGTATATGCATAAAGAATAAAGCAAAGTCTCTTTTCTCTTCTAAGCCAGACAAAAGATATTAGCACATCCTGTTCCTGACCTTTCACTATGACAGTAGCTGACAGCATTTTAGAAAGAGAGGAAATATATGATCCAATGAGCATTAGCTAAATTTGAAGCAAGATGGAGAGAGTTCTCCTCACCATTTTCCGTAATCTTGACTGAATCTTTTGGAGTAGAAAAGAAAATAGGGCATACTTTATATAGCCACATGTTCCATCTTCTCCACTTTTCTCATTTATCCAGCTTCTTTGTTCTGAGCTAGAAATGGCTTTCATTTTTTTTAATAACTTTTTCTTTAAGCCAGAATCAGCCAAAAAGAGATGCCTGTTAGAGCCCCAGCTGTTTCACAAACAGTTTCCCTGTCACAGCATTTGAACTTCCAAACTTTCTTTACATTTTGATGAATTCTTGCTCTGCTTGCTGTCTCATCGGTAGTTTAACTTATAACACAGTGAGGCTGTAATTCCCATCTGATACGTGTGGAATTCCTAATTCCAAAAAGCATTCGAGTTGTCAGTCGACCTAACTGTATCCTGTATTCACTTCCTATTATCACTACTGTAAACTGCTGATAACAGAAATTGCTCTTTTCAGGCACACTCTGGCACAACTGTATATCAGTGACAAAAGCAAACCATAATTTCATGCTCTTAACTGTTCTTCAAATCCTCACCATGCTGGTCCTTGCATTTGTAAGAAAGCAACAGTTACATTTTGCTAAAACTAATGTAGCTGAGTTTCATTTCTTCTTAATGCATTGGCTGGGCATTAGAAGATGAGGATTATTCTGTCTGGAGGTCTAGGTACTTATTTTATGCTCTGCTGTTTAACATTTCTTTAACAAGACTTTCACTCTTCCATATTTATTTTTATCCAGGGGGACAAAAATTAAAAGAGATTGAAGAGTGAAATTTTGCATGATTTAAAAAGTGTATTTTTTCAACTACTAAACTTTATAGAGGCCAAAATGAAACAAACATGAGGATCTTATCTACAGCTCTTGTACTCTTTTGTGCTTTCTTTAACATGGTTAACACTGTGCATCTCCCTCAAGGTTCACTGCTATGAACAAAAAAGGGCTAGCTACACATAATGTAGCAATGAATATTTCAGTGGGTTGGACCAGTCACTTCACTTCCATAGCTCCTGACACTAATAACAATATAAGTTCTCATATACCTCCCCCTTGATAAGGGAAACAGTTGTCTCCTGCTGGAGCTTGACTGTGCCAGGCAGAAGAGTTATTTGGAATAAAAGGAACACCATAATATTTGAAAACCAAAGCATTAAATGTTAAGTGACTCCGTACTTTAAAATGGATTTCCAGTGCTCCAGTTGCACGTACCAGGAGAAAATCTGTATGGACATACTTCTCATATTCCTAGGGAAAAAGCTCTGCTTGAAACAAAGGAGTTTTAAATGGACTTACAGGGCTCCCAGCATTACTTTAAACGTACTCTGACACAGTGCCTGCCATCCTTCCTACCTGTGCTTCCAGATTATCCCAGTTCCCCTCACTAATGCCCTGCAGCCTTTTGCAAAAGTAGTGTCACCTTCCAGCACCCATTCAGATTCTTATTTTCCTCTCTTTCCCAGGTTCAAGCCAGGATGTGGTCATTCAGTCAGTTCTCACTCCTAGAAATGTTCTTTCTACCTGCCCAGCAGTCCTTCAGTAGGCCCATATTGGGTTTAGATTACAGAACCCCAAGTAAATAAATATAAATTAAATCACCAAAGCAAGAACAACTTTAAATCAAAGGAATTTCCTGCCCCCCAGCCTTTATGGTGCTTTACGAGGCTGTATAAAAAAGTAGGAGCAACCCATGCTCAGGGAAAACCTTACAATTCTCACTTCATATAAGCATTAGAAACCAAATTTTCCTGAATCTGAAAATCCCCCTGAAATCCTACCCGAAAGTAAAAAGTAAATCTCGTGTTGATTAGACCTGTGCTAAATCCAGAGCACCTTATCAAATTAAAGGACATGGCAAAATAAGACACTGGTCTCAGACAGCAAAGTTTAAAGCCTACTAGCAGGAGCAAATTACTGTAAAAACTACTCAATGTATATGTCTGAGTTAGGATAGCTGTAATTGGATTAACAGCACAGCTTGCTATCTTGTGCTAAGTTATCTCAGTGCAGGAGTAGACTCTATAGCTGGAGCAATGTTTTTTTAAGCCTCCCAGCAATGCAACTGTGTTTGCCCTTCCTCAGGTGAACTGGAATTCAGTTCCCAGCAGTTTTCCCCAGGCTGCTGAACACTGAATTTGTGGGTGGATATGGCAGACTTAGTCTGGGTTAAAATTAACTTGTCCCATCAGGAGGTACCAACTGTTTGTTGAAGGTTGAATTTAATCCTAAATGAAAAAAGAAACATTAGTATTGACATCAAAACTGCAATGTGGCAGAAGTCTTGAGAAGAAAGCAAAGGATGACTGCATAAAAATGTACATTTCTTGAATGTGCAGCCATTACCTTCTGAAACAGAGAGCTCAGCCAGTTTGTGTGGCAGTTCTGAAGTCCCAGCACCAGCAGGAGAGCCCAGAATATCTGGTAAAGCGTTCCGGCGGCCTGCCCGTCCTGATGCTGCAAAATCTGTGACCACAGGCTCCACATCAGTCATTGCTGACTCCTTTCCTCATAGCAACATCTGCATATGTAACAAACGTAAGAATAAAACAGCTGTAGTCCAGATGGATTCTAATCACCTGCTCAACAATACAATAGTCTTTGCCCAGTGGGTCTTTTGTTATTAAAAGCCATACATTTCAATACTGAGTGCTTAAGCTTTTTTTGTGCCCCAGAAGAAGATAAAAAAATGTTCACAGTGCCACCTGCACATCAGACAAGCACAATAACAGCTCTATACCTACAAGAAACCTTGTGGATAGGGTCAGCAACAGCCCTTTCTGCCAGCCACTTGTATGTCTTTTTATGGCCTGATCCCTCTTTTTAAGTGGTTTGTCATATAACTACTTGGACAGGAACTGCAACTCTTTGTCATATTGTCTCTGTGAAGCAAAGCGTGTTTTCTTTATTATGAAACATGTTTAGACTCTTATTTAGAATACTGTTGTAGCAAACTCTTTTCACAGAAGACCAAATTATAAAAAAAACCAACAAACCTCTCAAAACCCAAAAGAAAACTCTTCATAAAATTTCTTCATCCTGCAGATATAAACCCATTTGTTTTCCTCTGCTCCTTGTTATTTTGGCTTAACTTCAGCTTGTGCATGTGACTTTTATATAATAAATAATTGAATCCTGAAATAATGGAACCAACAGCGCTCTGCTCCCTCAGTCCCTGTCTCAAAGACCACTGAACTAAATGGGTAAACTCCTGCAGACCAAAATGGACTTTGGATGAGGCATAGAGGTGTTTGCAGGATCACACCCCAAGGCACCAGATTAAGTGGAATACCTGAAGCCAAAGGTGATGATGCTTAGCTGCAAGTGGCACACAGGGATAGTGTGTGAAAACTGCCACTAGCAACTGTATTATTAAGAATCACAAAAGACTGTCATACCAGAATTGTACACAAAAATATCTTATAATTAACGGCATAATTTCTCATAATTAGACATGAATCACTGAATTAAAAGCAGTATTTACTTGTTCTATATGAATACAGTTCTGCACACAATGTGGGAACAGGAATATTGTCTGTGCGTAAATATGATCAGTGCTTTGTGTGGGAAGGGATACAGATGGGGCTAGAGACCTATCTGATGGAAAGCTGTCAGCTTTTGGTTGACAACTGGCTGTATTTAGAATAAGGACTGGATAAGAAAAGTCTTATTCCTTTTAGTGTTGTTCATATAGAAGCAAAGCATCATAGTCCCCTTTCTGAAATTCTGCTACAGTTGGGAAATACCATTGCTCTCATTTAATGGACAGAAAACCCAAGACAAATAGAGATCAAACATGACTTGCTCTGATATGCAGGAAGAGAGGGGCAGAAATTTGATTACTAATGCTGACCTGGCATTCCCACCTAAAGTACATTTTCCTTTTCTCCCTCAAAGTGCCTTTCAGCTGTGTGACTCCATCAACAAGAATAAATATCCTTAATCTTCTTTGTATCTCTAAATGCTTTGTAATATAAGAAATCAATCCTTCTTGCCAAGAAACAAAGGCATGAATAAAAACTGCAAGCCTGAAAGACAAACATACAAACTAACCACTTTATTTAACCAAAGTCAGTAACTGAAAGTTCTGAGCTGGAGATTTAGCACAAAGTTCCTGTATTGCATGAAAACAGTCAGGTCAAGTACAAATGAACCTCTTCCAGAAGCAGCAAAAATATAAAAACTATACATGGGCATTCAGGAATGCAACTTTGAGAAAATATGCAAAGTATGTGTATCAACATTTTCCATTAGATATACCAGTATACTATGTATTCATTAAAATGGGTGATGTCAGCATTTGACAAGAAATATCAAAATAAGGAGAATGAATCTATATTTACAGACACAGTCTCATGGCTTTTTGTGGGTGTTCGTATTTACTTAACTGTAGGTATCCTAAATATATTTCTCCACATGCTCATGAGAACAAGAGACCGTAGATTACACTTCAGAACAGAAAATACTCAAAAATCAGAAAAATACACAGAAAATACTCAGAATAAATAATCAGAAAATGCTCAGAAGATCTCCTTTTTCTTAGTAAAGCTGTTAAAATTTGTTCCCAATGCCAAAATAACAGTTTTGCTGCAGTTCCAGTCACTTAGTTGGTGAGACAGAACTGTTGTTCTGTTGTTCTATTGAATGACATTTACATCAAAACACACTGAAGACTTTCTCAAACCTGTCTTGTGGGCTTTTTTTTTCCTCCTTTCTCTCCTGCATGAATGTTTTGGTCCCTGAATGGTTACCTTTTAAATAGAGAAAATCTGCCTTACAACTGTTGTAGTATGAAACTCATCTCTTCTCTAATAGTTTCATTTTATCCACCTGGTGCACTTTCAAATCCCTCCCTTTCCTCTCCAGCTCATCTTTCTCCCCTGATGTAGTGTCCCTGCATTGCATAATACTAGACAACCCAGGAAGGTGATGAAGGACACAGTCTGACACACTTTCATGTACATAGATTTTGATTTATGCATTTGATTTAAAAAGTGTGCAGAGACAAATCTAGAACATCTGTCAGACAGAAAATCAGCTGATCATTATACATGAGTCTGGTGGTTATAACTCAGATGTAGCTATCTAAAAATAGTAAAAGTACAACACCTTTTATATATGTAGCAGTTACCATCATGTTTTCACCTTTGTTTTTTCTGTACTACACTTAAGGTACTAGAGGCTAAAGAGAAGACTGGTTCAAAAGTTAAGGGCTACCCACTTCGCTAGCACAGGATGTTCTCTAAGCATATTTCAAAGTTGAGGGACTACCCCAGCAGGCCTAGAATTGACATTATGAAACAAAACTTAAGTCCATTTAGGTCTATATAAATCAAAATTTAAGCCCATATTCATAATAGCTTGCTGCTGTACCTTAGATTAATGGCATTTTGTTCTTTAATGTTCTAAGGCATTTCTTCAATTTAATTATGATGCTCTCTTATAATACCATTTTCTAAGGACATCCAGGTCAGGATGTAGAGTTTCTCCACTCTTCATGTGTATCTACCTTTTTCTTTTATTATTATTTTTGTATTTTACATATATCTATCAGGAAATAACTATCATTTTGGCATCTTCTTGCATCTGTTATCTGTAGTATTTTTCATGCTTCCTCACAGACAGTGTGCACAGCATTTACTTTCCCAAATCCACTCCTCCCGCTGGCAACATCTCCTTCAGCTTCACTGAACTCATTTTGCTGTAACCTTATCCAAGCTAAAGATACTTCCATCTTGCCAATGCCTACATGCAGTTGCTTCTCAGATTCCAAATTACTGTTGTCATTTTTCTCCCATGTCACTGCTCAGACTACTGGTACAGAACTCTGAAAGAACAGAAACAGACTTCCAGAGCAGAAGGTTCTGTACTTTCCTCGCTCCCTTTTTTCCATAGCAAAAACCAGGGCATCTAAAAGCAGAAGGGGACTGGGTGGAAAACAGTTGAGCAGGGACACAGGCTGTTTGCAGAGGGTTAACAGTAGGAAGGCAGGTGGACCTCCTAGAAAAGCTCACCTATTAAAATTAGAGACCAATGGCTTTGAGTGGCATCCTAGCTAGCACTCCACCCATACTCCATGGCACCAGACTAACTTTACAGTTCATTACTGGATCCATGACATAGCACCAAGGGGGCTTTGAGAGTAGTAGGTTAATCTTCTCATATACACCTCTGAAATCCCTGCAGGACCACCCAGAATGCACAACAGACCACTCGGGTGTGCACAGCTGAAGGAAATACTCTGCTTGTGAAAACCGGTCACAATTAAAGTAAAACTCAACTCCTGTATCTATCAGATATTCAAGTAAGTGTTCTCAGACAAAGCAATGGCAGGTAAACTACCAGTGGGATTTTCTCTAAGCAGTTTGTTAATCTTTGAATCTTCTTTTGTTGGCAGCATAGCCAGTCCCTTGGGGGAAAATGAGTCACAGAAGCTGGTGAGAATTTATTTAAATAAATGACAAAGGAAAAGAACAAATAAGTATCCTGAAACAATTTATGTTGAGGCTCAAGGGAAAAAATGCTTTATGGTACCCAGCTGTAGCAGGTGACACAGTCCACATTAAATGTCAGAGCTATCTCTTCCTCTCTGTATCTGTTAGGAAGTAGATAAATCACCACTGTACGTATTTCTGAAAGCTCTTTTTTCTTCTGCTCTTTTTACTGTCTTATAGGAGATAAAATACTGGTTTTGTCCCACCTGGAAGGACAAACTATTCCTCAGGAAATGTCAAAAGGTTCTCAATATTGGTATTTTTACAATTCCACACAAGCAACTCAAAGACCCAACACATCACTCCTTGCCACTCAGGCACTCCTCTCAAAAACTTTTCTCTTAGGTCTTACAAATAGTCGTCTTGCACTATCAGAGAAAGCTACACTTCCCTAACACTGTTCCTGTTGAATGCCCCTTAGTCAGAACAAAAAGGAAAAAATAGCCTCAGAAACACTTGAAAAATACAACAGCCCAGCAGAACTTTTAGATCCTGATTGATTGATTTTGTGTCTTGATGGTCTCTTACTGTAAGTTGCATTTCAGTATCTTACTATATTCAGAAGGAGCCTTAGTCCTTTCAGTTCTGTTTGGTTGGGTTTTATTTACTTGTAAGTAATGTGTTCTCCAAGCACCTTTACCCCAAAAACTTGTAGTTTCTAAGTAAAGAGAACAGAAAACTTATTGAATGAAGTGCTTCCTGATGTGCAACTGAGATGAAAACCACATCTCCTTGCTATGCAGTTGACACACTTTCACATCCTCTTCCACCGCAGCTGCATCCTGGCGGCTTTGCCTCCTCTTCCCAAAGATCTCAGAATAGGAATGTATGTTTATGTAATCCTTATACTTTATCCTGAAACATTGCTGGACCACAGAAAAGGAAAAAAGGTAGGCATATTCATCTTTTAAGGAAGACAGCCCAGGGATTATGATGATGACTAACAGTAACCTGGGCACTTGAATGACAACTTCTGTGAGAAAAATTTGTTACGTGTTTTTTTTCACATCCATAACATTTGTAACAC